TGCCAGGGTTGTTGATTAATGTTTACACTATAAGTATTATTTTGCTGAATGTCATGGATTTGTAAGCGGGGAAGTGACAAGGCTGGAGCACTGGCAGCCATTGCAGGAAGGGTAGTCTGATTGCCTGGCATGCCTGTGAGATGTTTTATTTTGCACTAATGACCTCGATGCATCCCAGGCACTTTATAATCAGCCAGAGCACAATCTTCAGGTAAAGAATTCTGTAGAAGCCACTTTTCTAATTAAATGAAACTCTACAAAACTTAAGCAAAACTGAGTGAGAGGAGAAGAGAATTCACGCAAGTGGCTATGTCAAAGTGACCCACATCTGCTCGTGTGTCCCTCTCTCCCACTTCCCCAAGAAAAAGAATACTGAGACATTATCTTTGCTCTTAGTGAAAATCTTGACCGGATTCCTCAGTGGTATATGGAAATTTTTCTTTTTAAAGAAACTTGTCCTACCTCTTGACTAATTTGCAGTTCTAATCTGGTAGCTGTAAAGCTGTCATTCTCACGCCTCTTGTGCATCTAGCGTTCCCTTGGTGTTGGGCTGAGTTCAAATGCCCAATGAGGGCAATCGGTTCAAAGGCACAAATGATAGCCAAGTGCCTCATGCTTGTGGAAAAACCTGTGTGAGAGGAGTGCCTGATTATTTTCTTTGCCCTTGTGATCTCTCTGGGCTCTCCTGTTGAGGCTGGGGGGGGCACATACTTCTGATCCCTGCTTCTTTGACACAGACAACCTGGCTGAAGTGTTTCACATCTGCCTCATTTTTAGGCAGGACTCAGTTTTGTTTTAAAAAAGCACAGGTCTACTTTCAGGCTTATAAATTCTGGCACACCCTTGCAGCACTGACAGCAGTGGGACAGCAAAGTGGGGCTGTCTGAACTTTCCCCATAGTGGAATCTAACTGATCTTGTGAGGTCTTGGTCCAGGCTTCGGGCTCAGGTCTGCCAAGGTAAATACAGTGTAATTCCATTGGCGTCCATGAAGGTAGCTTGGCTTTATAGTGGTGTGAGTGAGTTGGGATTCTGGCCCCTTGCTCCCTGAGATCTCTTTGCTAATCGCAGGTGATGTATTTGCTGTGAATGATGCACTTGGAGCCAATAAGCCATCCTGAAGCATTCTTTGAAATTCTGTTTTGCCCAGACCTTCAGACCAGGGCTATGGGCAGACCAAGCACAGGTTCCTTGTATTTGGCTGTGTTGTCCTCAGCACTCTCTGAGGCTGTGTTTTGCCGCTGTATCTCTTTGTGTTTGGTTTAGGCACCTGAAGTCCCAGCTGCTACACTTGCTCCCCTTTGACTCTCACGTGCCATTGCACAGATTCTTTTTGCATCCGTTTTGCACTCGTAGGGCGAATGAAAACGGGTCTAAAACTGACTGACACATGTAGTTGGTGCCATCCACAGGGCACAGGCTTTGTCCTGCTGCACTCATTGTGCTTAGCAGTGCCAGACCTGTGAGAAAACCCGTGGCTTCCAAGAGCTATTCCACACTTGCATGACTGAGAAGTCAGCAATGGGCCTGTGAGGTGCAGGACCATACCCTAGTACAAAAAGCATCTGTTAAGCCTAAAACAAAGACAGGAAATGGGAACATAAAGGCAAAACAAAGCAACTCGAGTTCTTTTAAAACAGTAAGATGCGAGAAGGTTTTGGTTTCAAGAGTCAAAATGTCAGGAGGAAAAGGGGGAAATAGCCTCACTGTTTCAGCAGCCCTCTGTTACCGGACTGCACTGCAGTTAGAGGAATACTGATCTCGTTTTCCCATGTTGTATGAAATATAGCTGTAGGATTAGTGGAATAACTTTTGCACAGTGTTAAATGGGGGAGGGGAACGTTGAAACGAATATGCACAGTTTCTTCTAATCTGTTTTGAAGTATATTTGCAGGGATCAGGGGTGATTCAGTATTTTGTATTCGTATGGATGGAAATCAGGTCTACTTCCACAGTTGCCATTGGCCCCATTGCGTCAGCCACGAGTGCCATGTTTTTGGAGTTAGTAACTTACAAATCTTTTCCCACTAGTTTCTTTATTGATTGCAAGTAATCTTAGCATGGGGAGATCCAACCTAGAAACAGAGGGATGTCCTGACAGACACTTCACTACTGTGTGAAGTAGTAATATGTGTGTGATCAGCCACCCTCTGATACTGGAGTGCTCTAGATTTGGCGGTTTATTTTGTTGTGTATTTTTTTTTTAATTCTCAGCAGCAGTGGATTGGGTTGCTGCTTTGCACCATTGGTAGTTGCAATCTAGAGTTACATCCAGTACAGCCCTCTGTCTTATGCCAAAAATGAAACGCTCTTTCCATGCTCATCTCTCTTGATGTGGCAGATGGTCAAGAAGTTTCCATTTAATTTGGTGGACCTGATTCTTTTCTCGCTGACACTAGTGTAAGCAGGACTTCCACAACCAAAAACCATTCCCAGGAAAAGAGCGTGTATTTAATCATACCTGAATTCAAGTCATAGTAGGGCCAAAATCAAAGTTTGTCCTTCACAAAGCCAGGCAACTGTAATGAGGACTGTGGAAATGAATGTTGACACTTAGTGCTGTTTTGGGGAGGACGGGGGAAGCAGGACAGTCTTGGTTGCCCCAAATCCTGGGCTCTCTGCAGGCTTGGGTGGCACCGAGTCTGTTACTGAATGCTGTGGCTGTTTAAAACAGCGGAATTGCTATAGGAGTGTCACACCTTAAGTTTGGAAAAGCCCCTTATTTGGTACTTGAACAATCTTGCTTCAGTTTTTGAATGTCTGTTTATTTTTTAATTTTTGTTACACTAACAGGGAATAAAAATCTGAGACGTTAGTGAGTCTTGTATGCTTGCTGCATTGTGCAGACATGAAACAGGTACTGCTTGTGGATCAGGAGAGGTAAGAAACAGGTTCAAACACGGTTTTACAAAGCACTATGATGGGTTGGGGGTTGTTTTGTTTAGATCATGTTTAAAATCAGATTTTCTTGTGTGTAGTTTTCTTGTGTTGGTTTGCAACCTCTGCTTTTTGGAAATGCAAAATCAAAATAATGTTCCTGAAGAACAAAGGTGCTGTGAGGGGAGGGGAGGGGTTGGGCTTTCTCAAATTCAGTGTTCAAAGCAAACAGGTTTAATGAAGACGAAGGGTCGGCATCCTAAAGCATCACTCTGGTTGTAGTTTGATGAAGCAGTAGACAGACCGTGAAGTAGGACCTCTGCCTTGAACCACGAAAGAAAGAGGAGATGCCAGAGCAGACCCTTCCCTTTGGAATAATCGGTTGTACACTCCTTAAATGTGCGTGCAAGGAAGGAGATAATCAAGAAATTAATAGAAATCCTTAAGGAGTTGCTCCTTTTTCTGTATTGGAAGGGAACTTGCATCGCTGATCCCCTTATTTCCCTTGGTTGCACAGGTTGTGCCAGGAGAAGGGAACAGAGTTACTAGCCCAGATAAACGCGGGCCTGTTTGTGAAGCAGCTCGGCTAGTTAAGTACAGCGTGAGGAGTAGCTTTGGATGGGGTTAGCTGAAGTTTGTCCAGCATTTTTGTGAATCTTGCATTCTGTGGGCAGAAATACTTTCCACCGAATGGGAAAGGGAAAAAAAAAGTCTCTCTTGAAATCTTTTCAACTTCTTCCTGTTTGTTCACAGGGGCAGATAGGGAGCTTTAGCTTGTTAACCGTTTAGATGATGATAGTGCTTGAAGTGCTGGTCTTTGGGGCTGGCTTCATACAATTAATGCAGAATTTGCATTTTTTTAATTGTTATTGGCATAGACTCGACATTTTATGACTAGACTCACCACTTGCTCTAAAATTTGCCTTTAAAAAATGCAATATGAGTTCAGAGGCAAAAATATAGTGAGAACAGGTCCTTATT